CTGGACTTGGGTCTGACTGGCCTCTCTTTTGCTGTAGACATGGTCCCTTAAACCTCTTTCTGGTCTTATTTCCCAGCTCTTCATCATCATTTCTCCTCTATGCTTTAATGTTATTAGCTGTTTTTTTCTTTTAAATGTAGCCATCAGAAGCAGAAAATAAACATCACCTGAACTCTTTATGTTTAGTCTGTTGATTGGTGAGTATGATTCCCTGCTAGTTTACTGAGTGAATTTGCATAAAAATAAGCAATCAGGAAATGCCACAGTCCAACTCAGCTATTCCTTTTAAGCATTTCTATTCACATTCAATTGGCTGAACGCTTTATAATCATTTTTGTTTGATTTTATCCACAATAACACTGTGAAACAGGTTAACATTAAATTCGCAGGGATCTAAGCTTTTCAGAGACTCTATATAATTAAGCTTTTATATCCCTCTGGGAAACCGGTAGCAGCATCACTTCGGAAGGTCACACAGAAGTGATGGAACATTCCTGAGGACCACAAAAGCAAGTGCAGATAGAATAGAACTTTACTATGGAGCCCACCTGATAGACTTGGGGTAAAGCAAGCTGATCCCATGCCTGGCATCCTAGACCACTCTACACATGGATTCAGAATACAGGAAGAATCCCTAAAACAAAATTCCAGACGTGGTTTCCTTCACAATTAAAATGATCCCACTTCCTTATCTCAGCCCCTATAACTATCTTCAAATCACATCTCCCACTGATTCTGCTAACTCTTCTGCCGTATGGCTTGAATCCAACTCTTAGGCTTCAGTCTCCTAACCATCATCCTGTCACTTTGCCTAAGGATCACTTCAGTAATCACTTTCACTAATATTTAAATGCCTGTACTTTGGCTTCAACAGCACCTTGTTTCGAGGCTACTTTTTCCTCCACAAACTCCCTTCCTGCCATTTGTTCCTAATGAACTAATATTCTACACAATGATGTACTTTGACTCTCTCCTCAGTCTACCCTCTCTCAAAGTGATCTTATCATCCATTACACCTTCAAGCAACACTTCTGTCCACAAATCTTTCAAATGTCTCTCTATCCAATCTGCACCTTTCTTCTGAGCTGGCACACCCACCCCCCCCAAATGCTTGCTAATGATATCTAATGGATCTAGCATAAGTGTGCCAAACTTTACATGGAAAAACCCACTTCAAATGTTTTTCATTCTGCATCTTGGTAAATGGAACCGCCATTCACTCAGGCAACCAACCCTAAAACCTTGGAGTCATTCTAGAAAGTTCTTCCATGACACGCTTCCTACATTCAACCAACCTTCATGTATGTCTTCAAAATATTGAGAAACTCCTATGTATCAGATATTAAGCCAGGTGCTAGGCATACTGCAGTGAGCAAGCAAAGCATCCTTCTTACATAGAGAGGGTGGACATACAAATGGGAGGGAGAGAGGGAAAGAGGCTATTCATATTATAGAAAGGCACACACAGGAAGTCGGCAATACGCAAACTTTGGAAGTTATATAGGTGGTTCTGCAAATGCAATGTACAAAGCACCAAAGTAACATGTTCACTATTTTCTTTTTACTAAGTCTTCGTTTTCCATTCCTTTTGCCATTGTTTTTATTCCAATGTCAATGTCATTATTGTCCTCCTAGACATAGTCTGTCCGTAGTGTATCCTTAAGAATCACTGTAGTCCCTTGGGTACTTCACCTCTGTTTCCTCATTTCATTCTGCCCATATATCCATCTTATCACTTCTAGAACCAGATTCTAATAATCAGTTTGTCCTTTTTTCATGTTAGGCTATGAGGTTTTGAAGGGAAAGGACCCCGTACTGCTCATTTACATATTTTTGCTCCTCCAATAGTGCCTTTCATGTTGGAATCTCAGTACACTTTTGGAGATTAAGTTAATTGGGGGGCAACTAGTTTATTTTGTGTAAAGTGTTGTCAGGTTCTTCTTTGGGTATCATAAAGTTATGCCCAGCTCACCATGGACAATGGATCAATGGCTCTGTGACTAAGACCAAGTCACAGTTCCTATCTGCATTCCAGGCCCATTGCAATGGAAACCCCTTCCAAAAAAACAATGCTAATCTTACATTTCCTTTAAAGTACAAGGCTTACTTTTTCTAGACAGCCTGTTTTGACTAGGACGTCAACCAAATCAGTATTTCCTTACATAGACACTTAATGTTTATTTAATATAGGAATATTTCCTTGTAATTTTAGTAAGAAACTTTTCTATGCATATGTATCCTTTCCTAAAATTTTACACACACACACATGCACACACATCTCAAGGGCCTTATTTCTGTGAGTTTTCTGTTACCTACTCCATTGCTGTGAGGGTGCTCGGTAATCTTTCTTTATTGAAAATATGTAAGGTATACAACACGATGCTTTGATAGACATATCCATAGTGAAATAATTACTATACATTAGCAACTTGGCATATCTATCACTTCCCACATGTTTATCACTCCTTTGGTTCGTGAGAAGAACCAGAAATCTACTTTCATCAAATTTTCAATATACACTACCTGGATACCCTTGCTATTTATTAGATCTTATATTATTACCTGAATGTCCCTGTTGTTTCTTAGATCTTCATACACACTTATTGTATATAACCACTAGGTATTTAATATGCTCTTTTAGAAGAAATGAATAAAAGCAGTCCCTCTGGATGATGTTTTCTATGTGTTACCAAAACCACTCTCACAAATTTAATCATTTCCCATTAATACCATGTTTCCCCCAAAATAAGACCTACCCCAAAAATAAGCCCTTGCAGGATTTCCGTGCATTTGTTAAATATAAGCCCTACCCTGATAATAAGACCTAGTGATGGGTATGGCTATGCAGATATAAGCCACGCTATGCATTTTGGTGTGGAGCGGTAAGGAAGACTGGAATACTTTTTATCTGTCACAGCTCCTTTCTCTGAGCCGTTCACACTTGCAAGGGTGCGCAGGTGGTAACTAAGGTCACAGGCATCCTATTGAGCACGTGCTAACGGCTAGGGGAAAGGAGTTCACGCATCACTAGCACCAGACCCACCAATAAGGTCGGCTCCCCCTGTCAGGTTCCAGAATAAGATGATTTAACTGTATTTGAATAAATGCAGATTGTTGTATTATACATAATAAAGATAAGGTAGGGTCTGTGGCTCAAAGGAGTAGGGTGCTGGCCCCATATGCTGGAGGTTGTGGGTTCCAACCCAGCCCCCAGCCAAAAAAAAAAAAATCCTCTGGAAATAAACCCTGGTGTATCTTTTTGAGAAAAAAATAAATATAAGACAGTGGCTTATTTTCAGGGAAACATGGTACCTTCATTTCATTTGATTTCTCAGCATTGCCTATCAGAGCTGACCACTCTTTCTTGACAGGTGGATTCTAGTCTCATACACTATATACCCTTCTAACTTTCTTCCTGCCCCTCTGGCTACTCTTCAGTTGGTTGAGGGAACTGATCTTCCTTCACCAAAACATTAAACATGAAATGCTGTGGGGGTATCTTATCTCCTCGGGCCATTTATCATTTTAACCTCACAGGCAGCCCGAACAATCTGTGCTTTTCAGAATTCCATTTCACTAGAGGTCGAAAAGTCACTTCATTCCTTTCAATACCCGCAAGAATGTGTTGTCATGAACATAGTTCCCAAAGTATCACTGAACAAAGGGCTAAGAAAGCGCAAACCGTTGAATAATTTTAGAAAGATATTCAACAGACACACAGCATAAAAAAGACATTTCATGACTATTTAGGCTTTATAAAGACAGGGTTATGTGGAGGGCAGGGAAACGTAAGGGTTATTCTGTTCTGTAAAATGTAACACAGTGATGCAGATCGTATTAGCCAGTATCAAATCATTTGTGTTTGTGTGATTTGGCTGTGAAGCCCTGAAGGGGATCTGTGCACATTCCCACAGCAGCCTCCCTCTGGGCAGAGCGCTTAAGTGTCTGCTAATGTCTAGTGACTTGTTTAAAAGAGGATGAAACAACACACCCTCAGGCAAGCAAGAAGAGTTAAAGAGAACCAATTTAGGAAGCATAGTGCCTCAGTAAATTCAGAAATTAATCCAGATTAAGACATTTTGCCATTAGGATCTGTGTCAAAAATCCAGTTCTACAATTCTATTGTATAAGTATGGGAAGGAAGTCAAAAGGTATATTTCAAAAAAATCCTCATGTGTTCTAAAGTATACCTTCAAAAACTACAGAGTAAAATGACCAGATTGTATTATCTCAAACAAGTAGAAATTTCAGTTTAATTTTTTTTTTTTTGTAGTTTTTTGGCTGGGGCTGGGTTTGAACCTGCCACCTCCAGCATATGGGGCCAGCGCCTACTCCTCTGAGCCACAGGCACCGCCCAGTTTAATTTTTTTTTAATGAATCAATTGGGAATTGGTGGGGGTGGCAATTTACTGTAATATAATCCAGAGATTTAGATACTATGCACGAACCCATGTTTCCATCTTTCATATAATGTAACTTATGATAAATTAGTTCTTATAAATTAGTAGTTATTGAATCCACAAATTTCATCCAGACCACTGACACTTAACACTTCTCCACTGTCGGTGGAGTACCTTACTGACTGACGTCCCCAGGTCTCTAAAGCAAATCAGAAAATTTAACTGAAACTTTATTGCTATATACTCCTCTCCAATCTGAAACTAGATCATGGGCTTTTTATAGTCCAAAACCGTATACTGAGACTGAGACTTTCACCTGTGAAAGTCAATAAATTCTCAGAGACAGACTCATATATAGATTGTATACATGAGAAACATCAAATCAAGCCACTCTGTGTATCAAAAAACGCCAACTGCATTGACACAGGCTCTATTTTGCTCATTGTTACTCCTGAAATTATGTATTATAAGCTTCTTGGTACCATGTGTTGTTCAAAATCTTTTATTCACAAACATATTCATCTCCTTTATAGATGACTATGTCCCTGTGATCTTCATCACCAACCTGTACATTCTCTGGGAATTGGAATGAGAACATACCTTGCTTCCATTTTCTCTCGCCTCTCGTTCCATCTTGAGGTCAGAAATTAGAAGATTCTTATATTTGTTTTTTCCATTACTGCTGTGGTCCTCTATTCTGTATTCTGAAGTCAACTGTGCAGAGAGGGGACTGTCACTCAGGTTCAGTGGCTGTTCATCCTGCTCCAGCCCAGTTTTGCCATCACTGTTGGAGTCTCCCATCTCCCTGCTGTGTGTTCCCCCTGAAGCAATTGAGCTGTGCCCCAAAGTTTCATTGCCATTAAAACTCTCTGCAGCAGAATCATCTGTCGGGAAAAAATTATATTTTGGTTTTAATTAATATGCTGTTAAGTTTCTACATCAACTAGCATTTAGTGGGCTTCTATTATATGTATGGCATTGTACCAATGAATTCTACTAATGGTATGTAATTTTTAACCTTGGAAATGAGCTTGAGAAGTAGCTCTCATTATTTTTAATCTAATATGTTAACATTTAGCCCCAAGAAGTGAAATAAAATAAGGGGAAGACAAAAAATGAGAAAACAGTTCAATCTCAAAGAAAAATAAATGGAACACAGAGGATAAGATAATTGTTAATTGTTTTGCAGATGGTTTTTGTTTTTCCAGTGAGACTATTCAGATTTGGTAAAAACCTCAGATAAAAGTCTCACCCATCCTGCTAGTGGGAGTGTATTTGGGTACAAGCTTTAGGAGTGCTTATATGCATCTAAAATGTTAAAACTACTTGTAAAATTTGCTCCAGTCATTACACTTCTGGGACTTTGAATCCCAAGAAGTTTCACCTTTGTGTGCATCTTTATGTAGGTAAAAAGAAAAATTAGGTAAAATGGCATTTATACCACTGTTGACTTTAATAGTAAAAAAAAAAAAAATGGAAATGACATAAATTACCAAAAATAGAAGATTTGCTTACTAAATATTAGAATGCTTAGAAGAGTATGCAGTTATTGAATATTCCATTTTAAGGCATGTAGACACATGAGTTATGAAGTACAAGGTGGAAAAAACTAGGACTAGAACAATATGGCCAGTATGATCCCAATTTTGTAAAAATAAAATACATAGACAACGTTTATGCTGAATGATAACACTCTTTTTCTCAACTAATTTCATCATCACCATATATGATAAGAAATTGCTACTAATTATAGAGAATGATGGACAAAAGTATTGTTTCCTTTAGTTAAAAGCTATTAATGAAACCACACAAATATGGATGAGACAGAGGAATAACATTAAATATTTTTGTTTTCTGGATATTTTCAAGTATACTTTTTGGCATCACGCCATGAAATATTTAATGCCTTCTAATTAATTATATTAATGGAAATATTTATGTTCAAAATGAGTCATATAACTCACCTGTTCATTTATTCAATCACATATTAAGTGCTTTTTCTGTGGCCAATGTGGAGTTAAAAATTGGGCCTATAGAGAATTTGCCTTCAATGAGTTCACAGATAATTAAAGGCGACAGAAAAAGAAACATGAAATTGACATGCAAAACAATAAGGCTGTGATCCCCTGCAAGGGATAAAGACATCACTGAAAGAGTCCTGGAGAAGGTAATATGAGTTGGATTTCAAAGGGAGCGAGCTTTAACCAGGTGGAGAGGATGAGGGGAAGCAGAGCATGCGCAAAGTACCAGAGGCGGGGCGGGATCTGCACGGGTGAGAAGGAAGCCCCAGCTCCGCGCGCAAAACAAGGGAGTGAAGGAAGATGCATCTACCAGGAAGCAAGAGAATGCCAAGGGAAGCGTTTTGTAGGCCAAAGAGTCTGCATTTTATCCTGAGACCAAACAACATTACTATCACCGTTAAGAGGAGACTATTCTGACCCTGAAGAGAATGTATGAAAGGGAGAAAATGGAAGGTGGAGAGACCAATGAAGAGGTCTGGAAGTCAACTAAGTTGCCATCTTTGAAAGCTCAAATTGGAGCAGCATCAATGCAGAAAAAGGAGAAAAGTACGAAAATGTAAGAATAGAAGTAGGACAGGCAAGGATCCCAGAGAAAGCTGGGGTTTGTAGCAAAAAACTAGAAACCAAAGGGCATGAGACTGGAGTTTAATTTTCAATAATAAAATATTTTAATATAATCTTCCAAAACTCTGTTGTGAAAAAAGTATAAATAGGTTCAAATGGTAAATTAGCGCTTTTATGTACCCATTCAAAAAGAGTTCATGTGGAGAGACAAAAATACGTTGGAAAATTTAGGAAACTGGCTGTAAATAATATGACGTTGAACTTTTCACAGCTATTAAATGAAATCACAAACATGTTTTTAATAATGAAATGCTAGGGTCTTGAAATACAGAATTGGGGGAAATGATTTGTATAAGTGGTGTAGATAATTCTACATGTTCTTTTATGCCAATTAAATTCTTATGCTAAAATATGAAAGGTGATTGGTAATTACTTAAATTACTTTTTCCAAGAAAGTCCAAAGAACAGTACAATGGGCGTATTCAATTACGTTTTTGTAATTCGGAAAAAAAGAGCCAGTTAATATTGTGTACTAAAATCCTTTCAAAAATACACTAAACATTTCATGTAAGAATCCTTTATATATATACAGAATGCCCTTAATAGACATCCCATATTATTAGAGTATATAATCCTAAATGCCTATGGTACATTTTAAAAGCCAAATCTATATCACCATAGAACAAATCCAGTTACTATCACCATTAAAAATTAAACATGCTGTATGTGTTTCTGTAATCTGAAAGCATGGCATGCATCTAGTAAACAGTATATTATTTTTCATGTAAGATAAACATTACCATTTATCAGAAGAGGCTTTAGCAAATGTCATGTATTTATAATTTCAGAATCAAATATAAACAATAAGGGAGAAAATATTTTTAGATGAAGTAGTTCACTCCAGATGTTACCAAGGTAACTAGATTCAACAGCTTTATGTATTTCATTCCTGAGTAAATCAGTGTGTTTCACGAAGAACCAATACATGATTTACTCATTTGCATCCAATATATATATATTCAATCACATATATTGTCATATAAATGGTAAAAAAATAATGTCTCATGATGTGGTTTTACAAATGCAAATTTAAAACAAAGTTTTCGATGTATTTATGTTAAAAATCCAATTTAGAACAGCGGGCAAACGTTAAACTGAGGGTACACTAATAATTTTATATTGTCGAGTTTTATGTAACCACAGTAAACTCTCTCTCCTCCTTAAAAGCACTTTCTTTAGAATTTAAAATCACAGACTTCAGACCCCTGTTGGTAGTAACCAGTTCACCTCAGTTCGTCTCTTGTAAAGAGGTACTCTGCTGCCTTACCCAGTGTAGTCTGCTCCATCCTGAGTAGCCGCTACCCAGAAGGTGTGGAGTTTAGATCTGTGGGTACAGCCCCACAGGTCCACAGGCCCAGGGCGATAATTCTTCTCTCCAGGTTCCAGCCTGGTACCACAGCGTTTGACCCAAAGACTCTGTATGTGAGTCCCAAGGAAAAACAGCACCTAAAGCTTTGGAAAATGAGAGTGCCCAGGGTACCTAGCAACAGAGGAGAGTGTGGAATGCGATGACAGGATAGTGCGGAATCTAGTGACATCAGGAGAGCTCTTGGATGTCAGGATTTCATTTGTTCTGCAGTTAGTTTAGATGGGATGGCTTGAGTCCTGTAGAGACCGACTGTGCTATCTTAGCTAAGTTAGCTCAGCCAACGTGCTTTCTTGTCTAGATCTAGTCACACAGTCAAAGACAGACTGTTCATTTTCTTCTTTCTCCTTCCCCCTAATCCTTTAATAGAGACTCTAGGAGTACTATGGTATTTCTCATTTTCACACTAGCTTTTTGTGAACAGGTAGTTTCATCAGCACTAGATTCAATGACTAGCGCTCTACAGAGTATGTATGAATGTATGTGTATATATAAGTGCGTGTACTCATGTGTATATAGGTATATAAGTGTGAGTTTGTTTATATAAATCTCCCAAAGCACCTAACCTACTTTCTAAGTTACTTCTAGTAGCTCATCATTATGGATTTTAGGCCAAATGCCTTGGGCAAAATGAATAGGAAAATAAAATATATATATATGTATGTATTTTAAGTTTAGCACTCATTTTAAGATTAGCACTTGTAAGTTTAGTCCTAAAAATCCAGGTCACATGCTCACAGGGTCCAAAACTCTTTTTATTGTTCTCTCCAAATGCACCACAGTTCTCCACCTATAGTCTTTTGATGTCGCCTTGGAAAAATTCCTTTCACATCTTACTATAAAACTAAGGGCTAAATTCAAAATATAAATGTAAATAACCTTGCTCAAATGGTTAGTACCTTAATATCTAAAAAAAGTTAAAAAAAAAAGAAATTAAAAATTCCTTCCAAGTCTATGAGTTTAAGTATAACTTCCCTTTACCCTCCTGATCGTTGCTCTATGTCTTTCCCAAGCTATGGACACCAGTATTAAAAAATGGAGTGCATCCATGATTAGAGCCCAGCTCACACCTTCCTCTGGGGCTCCGTCCAGAGCAGGCCAGTTAGTCTGAATGGGTCCTTCGCAGCATTTCCCAGTTCCTGCCTCCAGTCTCACTCCCAAATTCACTTCTTTTACCTTAAGGCTCTTTGACACCAAGAAATTTCCTTCTTTATTTTTCTCATTTTCCTTCTTCAAAACCTGTGATGATATGATGGCTTTTCCATTCTTTGAATTACTATTTTATTTATACTCTATACTATAAGTTTTTGTTTGTTTTTTGAGATAGAGTATGGCTCTGTCAGTCCTTCATCATAGCTCACTGCAACCTCAGACTCCCGGACTCAAGCCCACCTCTCACCTCACCTCCCTGAGTAGGTAGGATTATAGGCACCCACTACAAAGCCTGGTTGATTTCTGTATTGTTTTTAGAGTTGGGTCCTCACTCTTGCTCAGGCTGGTCTTGAACACCTGCTTAAGCAATCCTTCCTCCTTGGCCTCCCCAAGAGCTAGGATTATAAGCATGAGCCACCCAATCGCTTAATTATATAGCTTCATTCTCTGGTTTAGCTTTTATTATCTCACATGCACAAAACTTCAATTCCTGGCTAAAAAGTCCTGCACTTTCAAAGCTTCAACCCTAGGAAACCTGCAAAAAGATAGATAATGTCTCTCACTTTTGCAAAATATCTGAATTGTATGCTATTTAGTGACATCACCTTAAACATGTCCAAAAGAATAATGGCACATTTTGAAGTCAAAACATTTATACTAAAGAGAAGTTGACTGATGTACATAAAGTCATACGTAGGTATGCATATATATGAAGGACATCGGTTTTAAAATGATAAAACTGATTTTACTGAGGGCAAGAAAATTACAAATGCTTTAGTTTTCTGAAAACTTAATTCTACAGAAGGCTGATACTGCTATAATCCTATCGTAGCTCCTACTCCATTTTTTGCCAATAGAAGAATAGGAACTAATATAAGGAAATTATATAGAGAAAACCTAGAAATAAGCTGAAGGATTAAAGAACAGAATTTCAGCTCTATAATTAAATAATGAAACTAATTCTGACCTATTAATGAGGAGGTATAATTTTATTGTTTAGATTAATTTGTTTGTCCCAAACGCTTATTGTGTACAAGACAAGATTCCTGGCACTGTGAGTACAAAGAGCCTCCACCTGGAGTTTGTTCTTAGATTGCAGCGTAACAATTACAGTGCAAGGCACACAACAGTACCTGTTCCATGAGAGTCTCTTAAAAGGCATCATAAATAAGTAACGTTTTGCTGAAACACGAAAGCCACCCATACCTAGCTAGGGATGGAGAGATTTTCAGGGAAGGCATTTTATAAAAGGTGGAATTTGAAGAAGGTGAGATCGTGCAGATAAAGAAAGGTGCTGATAGAGATTATTCCAGTTCAGGGAAGAAAAGTACCAAAGTCAGAAAAAGCTGAAAATGGACCGGAAATTGAGTACATTCTACAAAGATGAAGAATTGTATATTTTAGAGAATGTACTGTCTATTCCTTTTTCTGTTCCACTTATACAATCATTGATTATTCCCTCACAAGTGGTACTTGGAGAAACCCACGGATAATGTGAGTTTAGTCCAAGAAAAGTCTATTTATCTCTCTTCCCTCCTTTAAGCCACTATCAATTGACCCAACATAAAACTTTCTCTCAAATCCAAACTGACTCGTGTTTTTAAATAGCTATTCTGCAATAATTTGTCAGCAAGTTCTTACTCACCTAAATAAATTTCAAAATACAGACATGCATTATGCAAAAAAGGGGGATATGTAGTGAGAAATTTGTCATTAGGTGATTTTACACATAATGTTGTATAAACACCTTAGAGTATGTTTACAGAAACCTGGATGGCGTAGCCTACTGCACACCTAGGCTCTATGGTGTAGCCTACTGCTCCTATGACGTAAACCTGCACAGTCATACTGAGTTCTGTAGGCATTTGTAACAGTGGTAAATATTTACGTAACTGAACATATCTAAACAGAAGAGATACAGTAAAAATACAATATTATAATCTATGGGACGACTGTCATATATGTTGCCTGTCATTGCATGAAATGCCCTCTGGGCACATGACTATACTACTTTCACGCTTACCCATTAACTTGTTTAGCATTTCTTCATAGAATTAGCTATCTTACGGAAAGTGATATACATACGTATACACATATTCCCATATTTTTACAATGTGTTCGGAAAATATGTGCGATTTCTATTGCTGACACAGTTACAGTTCCATTGTATTTTATTGCCTACAATCATAACAGAAATAGATTGAATTTTTTCTAGAGGTAAGACAAAAATTATGAATACGTATATATTTTTCCCTTCCAAGTCACAGCACTGTAGTACCTGTGGACTCCCGCAAAAGTGCTCTTGAAGTAGGTGCCATGCTACTTTTTTCACTTGTCTTAAACGGCATCATCATAATCCTAACTCACAGGTTTTCCAATCCCTAACTTCACTGCTGACAGGGCAGGTTTTGGGGGGGTTCATTTAATCCTTTCTCTCACTTTAAATACCTGGTCACCTTGTAACTTTTCAAATCTATTTTCTGTACCAACTGGACTGTAAATTTCCACAAGGTAAGCATTTTACATCTAACGTTTTTCGTGCTCATCTATGAAACCTAGCCTAATGTTTTACACAAACCTACCTAACATTATAGAAATAGGTAAATAAGTCAATGTCACAGATAATATGATGCATTAATGCAGCTCTGTGTGGCAGTCATGTATTATCAACTCACTCGTGAAGCTATTTACTGCTACGACTTAAAATCAAAACAGTGCTGCAGACTTTTCAATATCGTGTCTTATGCTGCAAGCAGTATGTACAATGATAATATCTCTGTTAGATTTAAAGTGAATACAGGACAATCATTATACAGCAGGTTAGCGTTATCAAAGCTCACAGATAACTATGGGAGAGAGATGCCTCAGAGAACCCACTGAATGGACAATAAAAACAAGAAACAGTGTTGTATGTTATTATTACAAAGTCATTCTGTTATAAAATGATTTGACAATTTACAGAAGAAACGGCTTAGGAATCTATCATTAATTATCCCAAACTGATCACTAAATTATGGGAATAAATGTCACAGACTTGGGGTGAATCATTCTGCAATGAAAGCTTCTAACTTGTGTTGAAATGAATGTGGGCCTAAAGATTGCCCTACATTAGTGTGTATCCAAATAATAAATCAAGAGGTTTTGTTGGTGACAATAATAAATTAGAAAATACTTTATTCTCAAAAGCTGAAAAACAGTGAAAGAAAACAGCCCCAATCTCCACAAGCTTGTGATTGAAATGAACATCTTGGAGTTGGATAGGACCTTTAGCTTCGAGTTTACCTTTGTAGCAGGCATTTTGGGGCGTAGCTATCTACCTCATGGAGCCCTCCTGCCCATGTGCTGGCATCGCCCTTGATACACAGTGCTGAGTTAACAGAAGCCATGCTTCCCTTCTGCCAGCTGACCATTCTGATGGTCTATTTGGGGTCATAATTTCCTCATCTGCTTTACCAAGCCAGCCACTATAATGCCTAATGAATTTTTCTGAGTTCCTATTCAACCAGACCACCGGAAGCAATTTACTTTCACCTTGGTGATCATGTTCCAGGATCATCTTAACTTTCTGGTTCTGTGAACAGGGACTTTAACCGTCAAATCATATCCTAACAGACGTGACTATACTTCTCCAAAATGAGGACACTATGTTTGGGGTGCAAAACTGGCTGAGTCTTGTCAGCCTGGGCAAGATACCTGATGGTAAAGGATAGAAGATAACTAACACCTCTGTCTCCTTCGGGAGGGGGAATCAACTGTCTTCAGGCATATCTTTACACCCCTGCAAAGGGAAGGTACATCCTTAAAACTTTACCTGCCTACCGTGATGAAGGCATATTGCCTATTAGGTTTCATCTGGTTTAGAGTGGAATGAAAAAGGTTTTCCACTTGACCTTCATGAAGACAGATTAAATCAGATGATACTCCGGGTATATGTAGTTGATCAAAGTTGTGTATGGATCCCA